ACGCGCTGAGGATTTCCCACCGCCATTTTTTTCCTCTCTCTCCCTCTCTTTCTGGATTGCGCCTTTGTTTCCCTGCAGGCCGGAGGAAGGCTGGAATCACTTGGGCCGCGCCATTCCCAAACAAGGTGCGGCTGCCGCCTCACTCTGTCTCTGTCGCACTGGCAGGGCGCTCCGTCGGGGTGCCAGAGAGACAGAGCGACCAAAACGAGGTTCGGACGCTGCCGAAGTTAGTGCCGCGTTTCTCGCACCTCGCCGTCTCGCAGCCCGGAGGCCGACCCGGAGGCGAGCACGGGTATTATTTCGCGCCACGCAAATGATTGGCCGTTTCCGGCCAGCCTATCGGAGGTCGCGCGCAGTGCCAACATTCCCACCGGGCCGAGCAGACCGCCCCTTCCTGACGCCCAGAGAAAAAAAAACCGCGGACGAAAATTATCGCAAGTCCATAGGAACGCCGAACTCCGCGCCAGACGTCCAAACGAGCAAACATTGTGAGGAATGAAAAAGGGTTTCACTCAAGCTCAAGAGTGTTGAACACACTGTTGTTGCAAGGTTGCAATGCGCGCTCGCTTGCACCTACACACTCACACACACACACACACACACACACACACACACACACACACCGGCAGCGCGCGACCCCGTGCATTAAGACATTACCCCGGCGGCCGTAAAACACACGGCGCGATTGTTTGCCTCAGCGAAAGTGAGCACGTAATGATTCAGTTTAAACGCCGCGCCACATCCAGCGAGCTCCTGCTGTCAGCCCATCACTGTTTTCGTCGCCGTGTCTCTCTCGCACTCGTGGGGCGCCCCGTGAGGGTGGGAGGGAGACGGAGACACTGTTCGAGAACCGTGCTGCTGCGGGATGGTGCGGGGTATAGCATGGACCGATGCTCCTCGCGCGCTTTTGTGTCGCCATGCTACCTAACCGAAATCTAACCTTTCTAAAACCTAACCTAACCTTCTCTCATGGCATCGTGGCTGCCCGATTGCTTGTCGCAGGGCTGATTTGAAATGGAACCAAAAGAAGAAGCTTCGCGAATGAAACAAAGTAAACCTCCAATTGCTGTCATTCTCGAAAAAAGAGTTTTAATTTGAGAGCAATAAGATAATGGCATTCTTCACACCACCTCAAGTGACTCCCCGGTGTTACCTGGAACGCGCTCCCGCCGAGGGGAACGCGCCCCGAATAACATTCGACCGGTCCGACCAGTGGTCAAACACACGGCCATTGTTTCCCGAATGCGATAGAGTGGCGCTTTTATAACGTGCTAACTCAGTAATAGCAGCCCGGCAAGGCAGCGCGGCGCAACGCGCGCAACGCCTCCCGACCATTCCTTCCGCGAACTGACCGGCAGCGACCGCTGCCGACGATGCGGCGCGCTACGTCCCATTTTACCCTGGAACGGAACCGCGCGCCACGCAGTGCCACGCAGCGCCACGCAGCGCCACGCACGGCAGGCAGTCAAGACCGCACGGCGTCGGCAACGCGCCCGATCCCGCCATTTTACAAGCGCGGGGCTTACGATGCACCCAGTAGCCCAGGAAACGAAGGTTTTCACCCGGAACTAAAACATGTATAAGCGGATTTTGGCTTACATGGTGCAGTTTGAGGTGCTGAATCCGATTCCGAAGAGTCCACCTTCCTAACCCGTGTGCGTCCTTCGAAAATTGAACAAAAGGGCCTAAATGCAGAGGTTTGCGGTATTCGCTGTAGCGCCGAAACTAAGAATGCGATTGAGATCGGACTGGTGTCAAAATGTGCGGAATGGAACAAGGAACAGATCCACCGCACAGCGAACGTCGCGCGATAAAAATTTCCAGTCTAAAAGTTGGTTTGAGTGAAAAATATTAAATTTCACAACGGCGTATTCTTAAATATCACTTCATATCTTCCCATCGAGGCGGTGGATCCCAAAATGGTCCAAGTAAACGCTGTGCGCTCTTTCTTCAGCTACGCGCCGGTATCTTTGGTTTTTGAATCCACCGCTCCGTTCGACTTCTAACAGCCTTGAACTGAGGCGGTGCAGATGTCCTCCGCTGCGCGCCGCAGCCGGGCTGCGCGCGGCCCCGCTGCTCCCCCCACCACTCTCGGCCTCGGCCGCGTCTGGAGGCAGGGTGTTGTCTCTCTCGCTCCCTTTGTACACGCATTAGTGCGGGAACGGTGGTGCATGCCTGCTCTTTCGGAGCCCGGTGGAGCGGCTGGCTCCAATGTTTACAACGCGCGATTCCTACTTCGTAGTTTTAGTAACCAAAACAAATTTTATTGAAGGAGTGGTTTGTTGAGCTTGGTAGAACGCGACGCGCTCTACAACCTGGTTTTTCTTCCACAGTTCTCGGAGGATTTTTACCCATGTTTTGTACGAAAGGGCCTAAGCACGTTCAAAGCCCCTTACCGAAAACGGTGGCACCTAGAAATGCCGGACCAAAGCCAAAATGACCAGAATGCAACAAGGAATCGTTTAAGCTTCCACCGATTGATGTCATTGAAATATTTTGGCAGCAATCTCTATTTGACTATTTTTGCTCATTGTTTTCTTCCCAACTTCCGCTGCACTATTGTTTGTAAATGGGGCTGAAATCGCAAAATTGGTCCCGAGAGATCGTCAAGCGCTGGTGTCTCAGCTGCATGTACGTGTTTTCAGAATTTCGCTAAGTGCAACGGTTGCCGAGTAATTTTAGTCGAAAGGCAACAACGCACCGAGCGACGCCGCGCCAAGCGGGGCGGAGCGGCGGTCGCGCGCCCGAGACATGAGGCCTTGCAGCGTCGCACCGGGGAGGAAATCGGAAAATCAGCTCCGAGGGAACGTCAAGCACTGGTCTTTAACCTACACGTAGATGCCTTTGGATTTGAGCTGGGACGAACGGCAGCGGCTGAAACTGAATGCGAAGGTTGGCGGCGCTCGCAGCAGCGCAGCGGGCAGAATACTTCGGCGCGGCATTGTCGGGTCATGGCTTTATTAGATTTCCACCGCTGCCGTTCGTCCTAGCTCAAATCCAAAGGCATCTACGTGTAGGTTAAAGACCAGTGCTTGACGTTCCCTCGGAGCTGATTTTCCGATTTCCTCCCCGGTGCGACGCTGCAAGGCCTCATGTCTCGGGCGCGCGACCGCCGCTCCGCCCCGCTTGGCGCGGCGTCGCTCGGTGCGTTGTTGCCTTTCGACTAAAATTACTCGGCAACCGTTGCACTTAGCGAAATTCTGAAAACACGTACATGCAGCTGAGACACCAGCGCTTGACGATCTCTCGGGACCAATTTTGCGATTTCAGCCCCATTTACAAACAATAGTGCAGCGGAAGTTGGGAAGAAAACAATGAGCAAAAATAGTCAAATAGAGATTGCTGCCAAAATATTTCAATGACATCAATCGGTGGAAGCTTAAACGATTCCTTGTTGCATTCTGGTCATTTTGGCTTTGGTCCGGCATTTCTAGGTGCCACCGTTTTCGGTAAGGGGCTTTGAACGTGCTTAGGCCCTTTCGTACAAAACATGGGTGAAAAATCCTCCGAGAACTGTGGAAGAAAAACCAGGTTGTAGAGCGCGTCGCGTTCTACCAAGCTCAACAAACCACTCCTTCAATAAAATTTGTTTTGGTTACTAAAACTACGAAGTAGGAATCGCGCGTTGTAAACATTGGAGCCAGCCGCTCCACCGGGCTCCGAAAGAGCAGGCATGCACCACCGTTCCCGCACTAATGCGTGTACAAAGGGAGCGAGAGAGACAACACCCTGCCTCCAGACGCGGCCGAGGCCGAGAGTGGGGGGGGAGCAGCGGGGCCGCGCGCAGCCCGGCTGCGGCGCGCAGCGGAGGACATCTGCACCGCCTCAGTTCAAGGCTGTTAGAAGTCGAACGGAGCGGTGGATTCAAAAACCAAAGATACCGGCGCGTAGCTGAAGAAAGAGCGCACAGCGTTTACTTGGACCATTTTGGGATCCACCGCCTCGATGGGAAGATATGAAGTGATATTTAAGAATACGCCGTTGTGAAATTTAATATTTTTCACTCAAACCAACTTTTAGACTGGAAATTTTTATCGCGCGACGTTCGCTGTGCGGTGGATCTGTTCCTTGTTCCATTCCGCACATTTTGACACCAGTCCGATCTCAATCGCATTCTTAGTTTCGGCGCTACAGCGAATACCGCAAACCTCTGCATTTAGGCCCTTTTGTTCAATTTTCGAAGGACGCACACGGGTTAGGAAGGTGGACTCTTCGGAATCGGATTCAGCACCTCAAACTGCACCATGTAAGCCAAAATCCGCTTATACATGTTTTAGTTCCGGGTTGGTACGCTATTTTGACTTGGTTTTCTGGGCTACAGGCCTTGTTGCTCCAACAGAGAGGTGAAAAAACAACACCGAAAAAAAAATAAAACACAGCCTCAAACTGAAGCAAATTGAGCAGGGCTCTGGGAATCGCCTCAAGTAGTTTGCCTTCTTGCCTCCTTCCACCACCGCGCGCGTGGAAATCAATCGGTCACCGCCTGCTGTAACGTCTCCATCTCGGCCCCCTCGATCGCTTCGATGTCTCGAAGGCGCTGCGGCTCGCCCTGCGAATAGCCCTGCGGCCACACAGGGCGCTGGCCGCGCCGCTGTTCGCGCCTCGTGCGCAGAGTAACTGTCGCACAATTATCCAAATAATGATCGCGCCGACTCGACTTAGCACTACACTGCCAACAGAAGTGGCTGCGTCCGAAGGGGAGGGGGCGGGGGGAGGAAAAAAATTCCGACGCCACTTATTTTAATGAGAGCGACACGTCTCGGACGCGGCCCGGCACTTTCTCAGCGGCAGCGCACGAGATGGATTTCCTGTGCGGGCCACCGGGTTGGCTTGCACGCGAGCTTAATTATACATCATGAATTCGTAATCAACCTTTGACGTGCTCGGCCAGCAAGTAGACAAGGCGCCAGCGCCGAGCCGGCGTCTCCAAATTGGGGATTCTGTGCCCTGCTGCCCTCCGAAAAGTAAACAAACAACGAAGGGTCCAGTTTGTCGCCTACCTTCTGAAATGAGCCGCTCCCGGATCTCCCAGGCGAAGATGGTGGGGTTCTCCCTCTTGTACTGCTCGATCTTGGACACGACGGTGGGGGTGGCCACTTTGGGCTTGCTGCCCCCGATCAGGCCCGGCGGCCGCAGCGTGCCTGCAACATCACACGCGTTCCGGTATTCTGCAACAGTCCACAACAACATGCTCAGTATCTCGGCCAGGAACGAAAAAAAAATCAAAGTGGTACATTTTTACACTGAATGTCTATGCACTTCTACTTTCGTCACACAAAATGTCTGTAAAGATTGAGGGTACATTCATTTCTCAACAGTGCAGTCATATTCGGATGCGATGTGGGAAGACAGGTTATGTTTGGCCGCATTTGAGAAGCGTGGTTCTTGGCTGGATCTTTCTCTTGTGTGCGGAATAGTGATAGTGCACCTGTGCAGTCGGTGCGTCGGAGCGAAATCCCATTTCCGGGCCTGGGTGCCCGTCAGTGCCCGGGTAACCGAGACCCCAAATAAGTGGCGAGTCGAAGACAGCGAGTCCGGTCGTCGCCGCTTGCGTGACGTCGCGCCAGGACGGCCAGGACGGCCGCCGCCGGGCCGACTCCGAACATGGCCCTGTCTCTCTCGCTCCTCCGCGGAGATCCCCTCGAGTGCGAGAGAGAGAGGTGAGTACTGTTCGGAATCACCAACCTTCAGGACGACGCTCGCACCTGCGCGTCTGTCGATAAGGCAGCCGAATAAAGTGATGCCGTTACGCGGAAAGGACACAGACGGCAGGACGCAACGACAGGACACACACACTCACACACACACACACACACACACACACACACACACACGCACACACACACACACACACACACACACACACACATAGTGGACGCGCACACTCGTTCAATTAGAAGTGCAGGCCCGAGTGTAATCCGGCGGGATCCGTGTTTGCTGCCGGTGCACGCCAAGATGGTGGAGGGCGTCCAGGGCGTCGCACGGCATTATA